GGGGCAGCAGCGGGGGTGATTTGGAAGGGGCGGGGATCAGGGATCCCCGGGCCGGGGGTCCGGGGGTCAATCCCCTACCCCGGCTCGGGCCCCAGGGATCCCCGGGTGACAACCCTAAGTTGTAAGTCTTTTCACTCCTCGAATACAATGGTATTTTACACCAGGCAAATCTTTGACTCAACCTCCTCGAACCAGAACAATAGAGTGCTCTTGTAAATTATGGCCTTGTAAATTATGGCCTTCTGCCGGAATGTATGCAATAACCTCATTTTGATTGGTTAATCTCACTTTAGCTATTTTGCATAAAGCTGAGTTGTTTTTTTTTGGTGTTCATGTAAAAACACCAAGGCATTCTCCCTGCTTTTGAGGCACCATCCACCCTATTGAGGTGATGAACAACATGTCCAGACAATTCGGTATCTCATAACTGCTATGCGCACTGATGATTCCCACGTTGTTGCCCGCTAAACAAACCGTAATCAACTCAACATCTGTGATACAAACTGGGACGCCCAGGTCGCCTTGGTTGCCCCAGCGACCCGGCCGGGCAAGGGCCAGCCAGGGAAGGTCCCTGTTAAAGAACAAGAAAAGAGAGAGGATAAAAAAATTCAAAAAAAACAAAAAAACAAAACTATGTTGTGCAGAAAAATAAACTGAACAACCTTTGCCTCAGGGTCGCATTGAAATTCTTTGCCAAATTAAAAATATATACATAGAAAAAGTAATAAAAACTACGCTGATTTTTAATTCATTTTTGGCCCAGCTGGGCAAGTGGTCCCAGGCCACTCTGGAAATGTAGCTCAACATCCAATTCTGCACACCAGAGAGAGAGAGAGAGAGAGAGAGAGAGAGAGAGAGAGAGAAAGAGAGAGGGGGAGAGAGAGAGAGAGAGAGAGAGAGAGAGAGAGAGAGAGAGAGAGTTGACAAGCACTAATACTGAACAGCTCGACATTCAATCGAGCCCACCACTTTCCTAACGAGTCCCACAGAAAGAGAAAGAGAGAAAGAGAGAAAGAGAGAAGGAGAGAAAGAGAGAAAGAGAGAAAGAGCCAGAGAAAGAGACACAGAGGGAGAGAGCGAAAGAGCCATCCAATTGTGACAAACGGATTGAGCCGTCCATACAATTGTGTCAAAAAGACTCAAAATGAGTTCAGCCTGGTCCACATGATTGCGTCAATTGGTTTGAGCCCAGTTCATACACTCGCATCAGGTGAGTTGAGCATGGCCCGTACCAGTGTGGTACAACAGTGCTGCTCAACTGAGTGCTGCTCAACTGAGTGCGTTGTGCCAAATGGGCTGAACCTGGTCAAATTACCAGCCTCGAATAAGAATATTCCCTTCCACATGGGAAAGAGGTGGGAGAGAGTAAATACCACTGAAGACCTGAGACGCCGCATTCCTCAAGGCCAGAATGCTCATGTCCTTCGGAGCAGTCGTAAGCTCCCAATAATCTTCAGCAATGAAGAGATGCTTGATGGACCGAGCCTCACCAACACTCTTCGGTAACAACACCGTTCCCACCTTCCGCAGAAGCTCCGCCTCTCTCGCAAACCATCCTAGTAAAGACCACCCGGACACAAAACCAGAGAACCAAATATTAGAACATCAATAAATAGACAGCAACCCAGCCCATGACGCTAAATGCTACCACCCATACAACAGCGATCATAAGTGTGAATCCTGACTGTATCAGTTGGATGCAATCTGAATTCTTGAAAAAAGAAAGGATTTCACACTGCACATGTCCCAATCCCGGTCCCAGTCTCAAGTCCCATGTCCTCATCCCAAAGCCTCATTCCATGTTCCGTTAGTGGTTCCAGCTACTTGTACAACGTTGACGAATACTCTAGAAGTCTAGTAGAAGGTCTTACAGGTGACTGTAGTGAATATGGTGAAGGCATAGTCTTATCCCATCAGTAATGGTGGAAGGCCGAGGTTCCAAGCGTTCTCGGTTGTTCGTCGATGAAAGTGGTTAACTCATTAGCGTGTCAGAGGAGTAATCTCTGACCTTAAGTGTGTTTTTGTTTGTACCATGATTGCAGAGGCCCACCTTCTTGCCCCGAATACAACGTACGGTCATTACAGCTGTTTTTAGACTGAAAGATACCCCAAATTCTGCAATAATCACCGTAAGTCGTATTCGGGGGAAGACTGTAGGCAGGCTTGTTAAGTAGATCGTGGTAGGAAGTCTCTGGTAGATAACAGGTATATGGGTTGAAGAGTCTCTCTTTAGAAGGCACCACAAACTTCAGCCAGGATCACCCGAGTCGTTAGGCCAGGTGTCAGTCGATCTACGCATGCACCCAAATCCAAGAACAGTCCATAAGCTTCCAGAAGCAGGAAATGAAGGCAAGGGGACTGGAAGCCGGATCAGCAAGTATAAAGTCCAGCAGCATCAACAAGCAGGCTCATCTGTTCATACGCAAGTTGTGGAAGCGCTGCTGGTTGCTTGTGCGATAGTGTGCCGTTGACGGAAGGTGGGTGCTGGAGGAGGAGCGAGTGCCCGGCGGGAGAAGGTTAAGGAAGAAGGCGACCAGAGCCACAGGAAGGTCGAGGGTGGAAAGACGTGGGTGTATCCAGGGTGCGATCCAAGTGGAGTAGGGGGAGAGAGTGGTGAGGTGAGTGATCAAGTGCACAGAACCAGCAAGGTTGAGCCATACAACCTAGGGGGGAGGAGTGAGTGCCCCACGGGGAGGAAGACGCCTGGTTACCATAGCTTGGGTTAGGAGATTAGGGAAGAAGGCGACCATAGCCACGGAAAGTCAAAGGGTGGAACAACGTGGGTGTATCCAGGGTGCGATCAGGGTGCGATCCAAGTGGAGTAGGGTGAGAGAGTGGTGAGGAGAGTGATCAAATGCAGAGAGTCAGCGAGGTTGAGTGGTACAAGCTAAGGGGGAGGGAGGGAGGCAGGCAGGCAGACAGACAGACGGACGGACGGACGGACGGACAGACAGACAGACAGACAGACAGAGAGACAGAGAGACAGAGAGACAGACACAGACAGACAGACAGACAGACAGACAGACAGACAGACAGACAGACAGACAGACAGCAGACAGGCAGGCAGGCAGGCAGGCAGGCAGGCAGGCAGACAGCCAGGCAGCCAGACAGACAGACAGACAGACAGACAGACAGACAGACAGACAGGAAGTGGAGTAGATACCTGGATCAGAGTGTTGCTGTTGTGTGCGGCTGAAGCCACCAAATACTCTAACACTTTTCATTTCATTGTATATTATGTATTATATTGCAGCTCTGTGGTGCACTACTTTGGGTTTCGTCTCTCGGCTTCTGGTGTGAGCTCTCATGTGAATGTTCTGTGTGTGCATTTGGAGTTTCAATGTGGATTTGAGAGGTTCATTACACTAGGGATACCTCGCTGAAAACAAAAGAAAAAAGAGAAAGGAAAAACACATCAATATGCAGCCTGAAGTTCGCTAGGATCCTGCATAACACTGGGGCTACCTGGCACCTTGCCAACCTGCCCATTCCATTCCATTCTGTACCATGGGCACCCACAAGTCCCAAGGTACACCAAGCCACTATGCTGGTAAGCCAGTTCCAAATCCCAAATACATTCAAGACCATGCCAGCCTGCCTGCCTGCCTGCCTGCCTCTCTGTATTCACTGTTATGGATTTAGGCACCTACTACCGTCTTCACCCGAATAGAACGCCCGGTCATTATACCCGTATTTGGTGCAATTTCAGTCCAGATACAGCTATAATGACCGGGCATTCTATTAGGGTGAAGATGGTAGTCCATCTATATATTCAGCTACGTTACCTATCTACATCCTGAACACCATGACGCAACCATCACTTCCCTCCAAAACGCCTGCAAACCCTGTCGAACACTGTCCTCCCAAGCTAATACAAATATCCAACACGAGTCTTATTACCCTGCCAGCGATCAATGCTACTAATAACCCCCTCTTCTACGTGCTCTCACCCCCCTCCCCCATCTACACATCCCCAACGCCAAACCCAGTAGACAGCCCCTTGTAATCAGAAGTACTCACCCTCAGACATTCTTGCGCAACAACATCCCGAGCACTTCTCCCATACCCATCTGCAGCCCTGGATACCTGACACTTATGCCGCATCCCTACCGCCTCTCCTTGACACCCCATCCTATCCCAACGAACCCACTCTCCCTCTCCACACACCCCCTGATCCCATCAAGATCACCTAACCAAGAACCCAGCACCACCTCAACACCCCTCCAATCCCTCTTATCAACCCCCACAAGAAACCCCTAAAATCCCCATCGCACGCCAAAAAGCCACCAACAGTGCCCCACAAAATAACCCTTCTCCACCATCGAACCCATCACATGCACATCCTTGCAACCACCACACCCACTCCCCCCCTCCACACACCCCCTGATCCCATGAAGATCACCTCACCGAGAACCCAGCACCACCTCAACACCCCTCCAATCCCTCTTATCAACCCCCACAAGAAACCCCTAAAATCCCCATCGCACCCCAAAAAGCCACCAACAGTGCCCCACAAAATAACCCTTTTCCMCCATCGAACTCATCACATGCACATCCTTGCAACCMCCACAGCCMCYCCCCCCCCCCCCCCCCCCYACACACACACGCAAACGCTAAATTTCCCCCAAAACCTTCCCCACATAAATTGCAGACGTGCTCTCACAACATGTAGGCCCATCATGAAGCCCAGCTACAAAGAGCATAGCTATTCGAACAGGCCAACACCACAAAAAAATGCAGGGTTCATTTCTTCCTCAACCGAGGGTCACAATATCAGTGAACTTGCTACACTCCAAAAACACATCTGAGGTTCACTTCTCAGCGTTTGTCTCAATACAACACATCACATTTCGGAAATCACCCCATTGACAGATCATGGTTTATATACAAAGCTAGGTTACAAACAGGAGTTCGTATTATATTCTCTCACAAGCCGTGCCCCCCTTTCATCCCACGAACAACAAGTTGTGCCCCCCTCTCACAGCTTGTAACTAACTCAGCTTCCGCTCCTGGTAAATCAAAACGAGGACGGTTCATTTCCTCTAACAGGTACTGTGAGGACCCCACAAGGGTTTCTTTGTCCCATCGTCGTCACGGTTTCATGGTTGAGAAAGCGGCCAAAGCTCAGTGAAGGGGCAAAAACTTTGACAAGAGGTAAAAGATTGGTCTGCCGAATGTCAGATTCCAAGTTTTGAACTGCGCCCTGCGCCCAGTAGTTAGAGGGCCTCTCAAGGATATGGGGATAATTGGCGGAAAGCGCCCACGCCAAAACCCTTTTGGTTTGGCCGGTACTATGCGCCCAGGGAAAACGTTCAGGTTTTTTTTTCATCCCGCCTCAGGCTCTGGATGAGGCGGCGGTTTTCGCTGGACCCTACCGGCCTTCCGGCCCGACGGGGGGATGAAAATACCCCCCTAACGTTTTCCCTGGGCGCATAGTACCGTTCTAGGTTTTACGGGCGCCAAAAACCAAAAGGGTTTTGGCACGAGCGCTTTCCACCAATTATCCGAAGGATATGCCACCTCTACCATCTCATTCTCTACGCAATTACCTATGTTGAAGGGGCAAAAGCTTCTTCTCCTGCATGTAAGTTCCTTCTTCTCCTCCACGTAAGTTCTGAGTTTACCCACATTCAAATGTCTTTCTCAAACCATTAGCTGTCTTCAGAAACATCTTCCAATTGTGACATGGCTGGTTTCACTGCTGTCTAACATCGACCAAACCAGGGCTGCTTCAATGCTGTGAAACAAAAATCAAGAGCGCATAGCAGAGGCAATGAACCTGCAACCTAAATCGATCATTTAGGGTTAAAACAAAGAGAGAAAGAGAGAGAGGGAGAGGGAGGGGGAGGAAGAGAAAGCGATAGAGCAATCAGCAAAATTTGTTCACAAGGACTTTAGTCACTTTACCAACTGCGTCGAGAGACGGGGCAAGCGGAACAACTCCTTCCGAGGAGACCAAGCCATGCGATGGTCTAAAGCCAAGAATCCCGCAATACGCGGCAGGGATTCTCAAATTGCCACATGTGTCTGTCCCTGTAAAATCGCAACATTAAAAAAATATACAATAGACCATGAGGACAGCAAAGAGATGGCACGACAAAACAACCAAAAAGAAGAAGCAAAAAGACAAAGAAAAACAAAATAAACAATCAAAAAAAAAAACATCTACAAGACTACGAAGGAAACCATAAATATGGCATCATGTGCCAATCAAAACAACATCCGGAGCAGAAGACTCGATCCGGTCTAATGTACATGCGCAGAGCTTGCTGCAGCATCTTGTTCATCTGCTCTGTCTGACCGTTAGTCTCTATATCAACCCCACCGCAATGAAGAATAACGCCGGGCAACACAGTGCCGGCCTGGAGAAGCAATACTTGCCTTCAGAATGCAATCCAGAGCCTAGACCGTGACATCAACAAGCCCTGGGTCCTTGTCCTGAGCCTTGATCCCAGGCCTACCAACCTAAGGGCTTTCTATAACCTTTTTTCTGGAAACCCTAGCATTGACTTTTGGCTCCAGAACTATGACTTGGCCAAAACCTACGATCCTGAGACTTTTGCTGTGCGGGTTTAACGAAGAAGAAGAAGAACTAAAGCACAAATTTAACCAACCTTACTTAATAGGCACCAAAAGAAACAGAAAGACAAAAAGGAAAGACTTGTTTCATATGTCTTCGACCTGATCACTCGTATTACAATTGATGCAGGAATAAGGACAAAAAGGAAAGACTTGTTTCATAGGTCTTCGACCTGATTACTCCTATTACAATCGATGCAGGAATACGGTAAATGTGTAAGGAACGCGACAAAACAAAAACTATAGAAGAAGCAGGGAGAGAGAGAGGGGGGGCAAGGGAGGGAGAGAGAGAGAGAGAGAGAGAGAGAGAGAGAGAGAGAGAGAGAGAGAGAGATTAAAAAATACAAACACAAAGAAGATTCAACCATCATGGGGCAGCCCAACAAGATGGATCACCTTACAACAGACATTGCAAGCTAATACCATACACTATCATTAACCTTCGCAAGTTCTAACAGCTTTCTTACATTCTTTCATTTTTTGCAATGATGCTGGCCTTTTTTCCGCAGTGCGGAGGCCAGGGGAGGGAGGAGGGTTCTAAGCAAGAACATGCAGCCGACCAATAAAAAAAAAAGGGGGGAGAGAGAGAGAGAGAGAGAGGGGGGGGGGGGAAGACGGAACGTACCTAGTGCAAAATTGACTACCTTGGCAGCTACAGAGACAGCAGACCCACTTGAAGAGCCACCAGGGATGCGCCCAGGAGCAGCAGGATTAGCTGGGGTTCCATAATGCTTGCACTCGCCTGTAATTCTGCACCAGAAGAGATGTCTATGTCACTACTCGCATGAAACATCACTGTTTACCTAAGGATTTCCTCGCATCCTTTGTTCTTAAGCTTCTCTGTTTTCCTTTTTGAATTTTTCCCCTTAAACCACCACAAGCTTTCGCAGGCAAACTCGAAACCACCTAAGAATGCGGTATAACCTGTACCGCATTCTTCGGAGGGCGGACGCCGCAGGACCAAATTGGCTGGTGGCGCCAGCAAAACCAAAAACAAAAGTTCATCCTGGCGCTTCGCAAAGCTTGGTGTGCAGTGGTAGTAGAGAATCATCTCCAGGCAACCTTGGCATGCCAAGTGTAAAACACTTCAAGGCCATACACAAATGAGAAAGAGGGGAAGGGGGAAGACGAGACAAAGAAGAAGAAGAAGAGGAAGAAGAGAAAGAAGATGAAGAATAGGAAGAAGAGCAAGAAGAAGAGAGGAAAGAGAAGCACATAGTTCTTTTCTGCCTCGGCACAAAGAGGCTCCGAGGTAGTGGTGGTTTAAAACAGAGGACCATTTCTCTATGATCTTACGATTGTTTTCTTCTTCTTCTTTTTTTTCCCCTTAAAGCGGAGGATCATTCCTCGATTCGCGGATCTCGGCATTGAATAACGGTTCATTGTGATCTTCTCTGAATTGTTCCACATTTGATGGACCAAAGGGGGCCCTTAGGGGGGTGGGGTAGCAAACAAAAGAACCTTTGTTTTCTTTTTTTCTTCTTCTTTTTTTCTTTTTCTTTTTTAATTTCGACCATTTCTCGATTTATGCACACGTGTCATTCGGGCCATGCTAATCTTCTCTGTATCGTTCCAATTTTAACGGATGTCCCGAAAGGACAAAAGAACTTTTTTTTTTTCAGTCAAACTTAATTTAAAAAAAAAGGGAAAAAGTTCAGAAACCTTCAGCTTGTTCCTACCGCAGCATTCGCTGGACCCAGACCATGAATTAAACACAAGAGACTTGTGAGTCGTGACTGCAAATCTTTTATCTCTTTTGTCATCTCTTTTGTCTTTTCCTGACAGGGAACCCCAGTGGTCGGTGCCTCGGGAAGACAAACTTCAGAATCTCAAATACGACGATCCGGGTTCTTCGGAAGAACACAGTGCGATCGGACCGAAATGACTAGGGACGCCAGCCAAAAAAGAAAGAAATGTGTGCCTTTGGCAGGGTTTTTCAGGGCGCGCAGTGCAAATCCACGTCAGGTAAAAAGAGGCTCGAACATAGAGATGGTTTAAGACTCAGGGGCAGACTCGCACTCAGAATTTCAGAACAGCATCTGACTGCAATTGCGGCCAGCATTCCATGGAACTGCATCTGACTGCGATTATGGCCTTAGCCTACGGGTCAGGACCCCCCACTGGACTGACCTTCAGTTCGTGCAGGTCAATCAGAGAGGAAGCTGCCTCCACAACCTCCTCCCTAAACTCTGGCTTCACTCCTCCGTCTTCCGGTCTTCTGCTTCTTCCCCCCTGCCATTGTTTATTTTGTGAGCTTGTTTTTGCATCTACTAACATCATCTTCAACCAGGGGAGAGAGAGAGAGAGAGAGAGGGAGACGGCAAAGAGAAACGAAGAGAAGGAGAGAGAGTATTTTCACTTTTGTGAGGTTCAGGCCTTACCTGGTTCTGATCTTTCCTTCTTTGCATTTTCTTCTCTTTTCATTCTTCTTCTTCGATGATCCTCCTTATTTGTTTGCGAGAGGGAGACGGAGAGGAAGAGGAAGAGGGTGAGGGAGAGGGGGAGAGAGAGAGAGAGAGAGAAAAGGAGAAAGAGAGAGAGTAAAGAGAGAGTATTTTCGTTTTTTTAGGGTATGGGCTTTTCTTTGGTTCCTATCTTTCCTTCTTTCAAGTTTCTTTGATTTTTTTCTGTGATGATTCTTCTTTTTTGATTGAGAGAGTCTTTCCCTTTTTTCTAGGGTTCAGTCCTTTCATCGACTCGACATCTTTGTCTTCTTCGTATTTTCTTCTTCGTATTTTCTTCTTCGTATTTTCTTCTTCGTATTTTCTTCTTCTTCTTCTTTGATTCTTCTTCTTTGATGATTCTTCTTTTGACAAGAAACAGGGACAGCAAGCGAGAGTGAGGGAGAGTGAAAGACAGAGAGAGAGACAGAGAGAGAGACAGAGAGAAAGATACGGAAGTCAATGCCCTGAAGTTCACGCCCCTACATCCTCAACCTTCCGCCTCTCCCACCAGACTTCCGCCCAATCTCTCTCCTCCGGATCTCCAGAGGATGCCCCATGCCTCAAGGGGAACAGTCAGCGTTTTCCCTTGCAAAAAAAACATCGAACCTGCTTCCGCAACAGGTGAGAGTCATTACCAAAGCAGTTGCAAGTCCGTTCAATTCCATTCAATTCCGTCCAATTTGATGGACATGCAGAAAGTGGCGCATTCAGGTACAACAGCAACACCAATCAGGGCCGCCAAACACCTGATAGAGGCTTTAGAGCATGATGAGGCCTACAGACAGCAGCAGCAATTAGGGCATACTCACACTGGATGTATCTTATACCTTTCATATGACCAGATCCAGTCGAAAAAGGGGGTCACTGCAGCACTAGCAAAACTAGAAAAAAAAATGGTTCTGTTAAAATTCGAACAATACACTCGCCCTTTTTCACATCGGGCAAGTTCTACATTAAACCAACACTACCCCCGCCGTCCTAAATTAGGGGGGACCGGTAGCACAGGTCCATGAGGGCTACCAGTAACACAGTGGGGGGAACTGGCAGAGTGGCAAAATTGCAATATGCGTCGAATTGCCCCCGCGATTTATTTCGGGGTTCAAATGAATTTTTTAATTTTTTAAATTCTTTTTCCTAGAAAGATGACGACGAAATCTGCAGACCCTCCAAGTTTCAGAATTTTTATTGTATTGGACATGAAAAATCGCTGAAGTCAGGGTACTTTTCCCGTTGGCCGACACGTGATAGGGCAGCAATAATGGAATATGGGACAAATTGGCGCAGCATTTTACTTCACGGTCTTAATTTTTTTTTTTGAATTTTTTAAATATTTTTCGTGGAAAGTCCACAACCAAATCTACAGTCCTGTCAATTTACAGAGTTGTTGAATCATCCTTCTGAGCGCAAAAAATCGGGGAAGTTTGGGTACTTTTCCCGTTGGCCCACACATGTAGAGTGGCAAAAATGAAAAATGCAACAAAACTGCACAGCATTTATTTTTTTCATGCTCTTTTTTCTTTCTTTCTTTTTTGATATTTTTCGTAGAAAGATCACAATCTAATCTACAGGATCTCAATTTTTCAGATTTTTTCTTTAATTCGTCTGAGCACGCACGAAAAATCGCCAAAGTTGGCGCTTGAAAATCCCTGGACTGGACCCGCCTGCGCCTGCCAGTCGCCGGCCCCCCTAAGAACCCGGTCCGTAAGGCTAGGAAAGGTGAATTTAGGCCGGCGGGGGCAGTGGTGGTTTAAGAAGAGGCCCAAAGTCTCAATGATAGCACGATCCTTGCCTATTTCTTCTTCCTCTTTTTAATAGGTTTCTGCCGACTCTAGGGATCATCAGGATTACCTCGTGCAGAGGATTTGGAAATCTCGTGGTCGGTGATTGCTGACATAAGCGGTGACATTTTCTACTTCGGAAAGTACAACTGAGTTTCCACTCTACACTCTCCAAGGATGACCAGTACGTCATTTCCTATTTTGGAAAGCATAAATGAATTTCTTTCCAGTAATTTTCTACTCTACAAGAATGACCGGAGGTGACGGGCTGGTGGGTTGGGGAGGGGGGGGGGGCGCAAAGTAGCACGGGAACCTTTAGTGAATCAGCAGGAAGTACTTCTTCTTTTGGGAAACAACAAGCCTCGTCCTATCAAAAAAAAAAAAAAAAAAAAAAGCCTTGCCCTATAAGTGTGCAGACACCCCTGACAAGACTTTGTCAGATGTTGCATTTTGAAACACATGCACAGAACAGAAGCAAGCAACACTCCACACCACATACACGCATTCCCATAACATGAAATTTTCCTATTGATAAAAGAAACAACAAGCCTCTTCCACTCACCACCCGGATGCACAGGACAGGGCTTTGTCAGATGATGTGAGCAATTTCCAAATGCACACGAACAAATAGAACAGAAGACATTACACTTCCACACACCGGAGAAACTCATTATCGTCCAATGCAAGGCCCCACTCTTGAGCCATACGTTTTTACTCACTTGCCTTATCTAGGGTATACTTGCACTTGGACAATTTCAAGTGCATCCAGCCGCACTCTCAGGCCGGACACAATCCAGAAGTCCTCGTGTGAGAGTATCCCCTTGGGGTTGGGGTATACTCACACTTGCACTATTTCAATGCCCTTGGGGTTGGGGTATACTCACATTTGCATACTTCAATGCATCCAGCTGCAATCCAGGCTAGATACAGTCAAAACAGCCCTGATGAGAAACTGCACTTGGCCTCACATTTGCACAAAGTTCAAAACAGGGCACTAGGTGACCAAGAATAGCATCATTCTTTTTTTTTTTTTTTCCTGCAGTACCATCTTCACCCCACTACAAAGCACACTCATTATAGCTGTATTTGGAGTAACTTTAAGCCAAGATACAGCAGCAATAACGCCCGTGTGTGCTATTAGGGGGAAGAGGTTATGCCCCACATCCAATGGCAGGCAGGCAAAAAAAAGTACAGACAGGGATCTGACAAGGACCCTGTCCGTGTCAGGCTCGGTTCCATCATCCAGGACGAAAGCGGCAGCCTGCTGTTCTTCGAGACAGACGCTACGTCTCCCCCAAAGGGGAGGTACAAAAACGAGCCCTCTACCTCCGAGCCTCTTTTTGCCAAGGCGGAGTAGAACTACGCGCCAAGCTTTGGCCGAAGCGCCAGCACGGCGCTTTTCGTTTTGTTTCGTTTTGTTTTGTTTTGTTTTGTTTTGTTTTGTTTTGGCTGGCACCGCCAGCGTTTTTGGTCCGGTAGCACCTGGCCTCCGCCGGCCTCCTGAGAATGCGGTAAGGGTTGTGTTGACGACTTCAACCTCCAGGCTGATAGGTCGTGTTTTTCTTTTTCTTTTTTTTTTAACTAAGCTATATTATTCTCTCAATTTCACCTTTCACTATCAAACCTACCACTCCTCCCCCACCCTACTCCCTGACCACCGCCGATTAGGGCAGGGGCCGACATGCATCCCCTTTATTGTGCGAGGTAGCTATGCTTGTAGTGGTGGTTTTAAAAAGAGATAATACTTTGAATGGCAAAAATTTTGGAAAAAAAAAACAAAAAGCCTAAATACTAGGCTGTTTTCCCGGGCGCCCGGGCACCCAACTTCTGCCCGGGTACACGCCCGGGTGCCCGGCCGGGCATGACCCCCGGGCGGGGTTCCAGCCCCAGCGCCTAAAAAAAAAAAAAAAAAAACCTCAAAAAAATCCGGAAAAAAAAAATGTTGTGTAGGATTGAAATGCAAACCACTTTTGGCTGAGGGTCACATTA